AATATCGATTAGAATGAAGAGTGCTAGCAACTATTTGCGATATCTCTCTCTCTCTGACAATACTTTGTATTTTTATTTGTATTTTTTCTTTTTCTTTTTTAGTCAACGTGAAGAAGAATACGAATATAAATACGTTATTATTCGTGGATTATAAAATGGGGATAATTATTTTTCATTGTTAAAGAAAGAAAATATATTATACACGTTAGTGACGAATCGGTGTTTCAATTATAACAATAATCGTTTCAGATAATTACGTTTTATCTCAAATGCATTCGATAATTTTATACTCAAAATTAGATCTTGTTAAACGATGATAATCTAATCGTTATTTATTTATATTACAAACTTATACCGAATATTTTTTATTCGAATCAATATTTTTTCTTCTGAAAGAAACACCCCCACCCCCTCTCCAAGAAAAAAATAAATAAAGACAAAAAATAATAGTAAATGATAGGAAGGAAAAAGCGTATAGGTGGGAAAAGAAAAAAAGAAAGAAATAAAAAAAAATAAACTAGAAATAGAGACAAATATACTTATATTTTAAATTATACCTTCTCACGCGAGATAAGATAAAAAAATAAAATGAGAAAATATTATTTTACTAATGCAAGTCTCGAATCCTACTCGCAAACCTTCCTTCCGTCCGCCATTTTATTTACCCCGTTAAATTTCATTGCGCCCACGCATATCCGTGCAATGGTATATAACACCGACGAACGAATTCTAATGTATTAGTATGCGTGTAGAAACTTACTTAAACACATATCCCTCCACGCACACGCACACACACACATATATCTATATATACACGATCACACACACGCGTTCTCGAGCGCACGTGGATCAAAATCCGAAAAGAATCAAATTTTACAAACAGTCCAATAAAAAATATTCAATTTTTTTCAATGATCAAATTATTATAATTATTATTATTATTATTGTTGTAGTGTCGTATCGTTAGGATATATAATTTTTAAATACTTCATTTATTTCTCATTATTTTTCTCTTTATCTCACTCTCATGATATATAATTATATATTTCAAACAAAAATTCAAACAAATGCGAACATTAAAAAAATAATAATAATACATATAAAGATTTAAAAAATTGAAATATATAGAAAAATTCTATTTAAATAATAATATAAATATTAATATAGAGAGAAAGAGATGAGAGAGGAGAAGAATATTAAGGACGAGGCTAAATTTTCAACCCTTCCACTCCCAATTCAGTATTCCCTTTGTTCGGTCAAAATGACGTTGCACAAAAAGATAGAATGAAACACGCCACGTTTCTCTCTCTTTCTTTCTCTCTCTTTCTCACATTCGCTCGGTTATCTATCTCTATCCTTGTCTATCTTTTTAACAAACAAACACACACACACAGATCGCATTAATACGTCAAAGGTAATAACAGTAGCAGCACATTAACGCTCATTTGCAATGAAGGGCTTCTTCTTCTCGCGCGTTGCCTGTTCGGGGTTGACCACGATTCGATTACTTCGCGCTTCTTTATCCCTCTCCTACTACCCCCTACTACTCCCCACCCCCTCCTACCCACCCTAAACGTTCGGATCGTAAAAGAAAAGAAAAAGTAATGGAGGGAGATTCGAATCGATCTAAGATTTACGCGAAAGTTTACGCGTACTAAGATTATTAATCGAATATTTTTATTTCCATTTGTGAATATTTTATTCTTATTTTTTATCAACGAAATAAATGGAAAAAAAGATAGTAGGGGATGAAATAATATTATCCGGTTGAGAGGTTGAAATATAAGGGGGGGGGGCGGAAATGAAATACAAAAAAAACAGGGAAGTGAACACGTTTTAACACCCACCACCATCCCCCACCCTTCACCCCTGATCGATGAGAATTCATAGTTTTATAAACGAAAGAAAATGAATTAACGATTAATGAAATAAAATTGTTATAAAATAAAGAAATATGTTAATTCGCGTTTACGAATGGTGGATGGTCGTGACGCACAAGTCGATACTAACGACGACTGTGATGACAACCACGACTATGACGACGACGACGACTACGACGACGAGGACGAGGACGAGGAGGAGACGCGAACGCGACGAGGAGGTCAAAATCCATTTTGCAACGTTCCACCTTCGATCGACGATAATAACCACCTACCGACTATGACTACTACCCCCTCTCTCTCTCTCTCTCTCTCTCTTATTCTCTTTCACCCTCTTCCTTTTTCTTTCTTTCTTTCTTACTTTTTTTACTTTCGACAAAAATTACCCCCACTCCCTATGCAATTTGATATTATTAATTAATATTATATATATATATATTTTTTCCCCCTTTCTTCTAAATATATTTCTTTTTTCTATCAATCATC